TGAATGATGGTATTCTCTGTCATATTGTAGTTGATACCTAATTGATGTTGATGCTTGTATAGGGATTCTAGTAAAGAAAAAAGGACTTGCCTAAGTCACTAAATACTTAAAATTGATGGCTAACAATTTCTTCAGTTATTAACTGGCAACAATTATTACTGTCCCTTATTTAGGCTTTGATTTTTTCCTAATGACAAGACGCATAACCTGCTTTTAGTTTCACTGTATACCATCTGCCTTCATTTGGAGGTCTGGGTCATTTCTATTTTCTTTTTGTTTATTAGAATTGTTGGTTTAACAGTGTGTGTTTGCAAGTCAACAGTGTCTCTACTCATTTGTCTCTTATATCTTTTATCACTTAGGAACTTTTGAATGAAAATCTTACTGCCTATCTTAAATGAGTAGGCCGCTCTTTTCCTCCAGATTTCCTTTCAGATGGTCACACAGATTCTGGCTTTATTGCTAATTCTAACATTTTCTCCCACTTTTTCCTTACATGGAATTATGTTGATAAACTTGTGTCATTTGCTTTTCTTTATAATTTTTGGAATCCTTGCTTTCTTGACTATTATACCTTGATTTCCGTTCATCTGCTACCCATTTGTTCTTCATTTGCTACCCATTTGTTCTTCATACATAAATAGGAGTTAATCTAGGTATGCCCTGTTTCTGAAAATTGTAACTTCATAGTATAGTGGTTCTATATGCATGGTTGTCTTCTACTTCAAGGTAGGAGTAGGTCTTCTTATGGCTTTGTTTTTTGTCCTGCTTTTCCTTCTCATATTCGATTGTCCATGGTCAATAAATACATGTTAGAAACTGAAATAGAAAGATATAATCCTTGGAGAACATGATTTTTGAACTCTTCTTGTAGGTTTAGAATGTGTTTTACCCATTTTTCTGGATATCCATATATCTTTCTGGTTATGCCGAAATCATTTAAACAGAACAAAAGAAACTTCTGGATCTCTTAAAATGGACATAGTTGATTTATTATTCATTTACTGGTAAATAGGATAAACAGTTATTACTGGTAAGTTCTTCAATTTCAACTTTCAATGATATAACTAATGCTTTGATCTGACTTAGCGATTTTCTATGCTGTTCATTTGGACTATTGGACATTGTTGTACTTTCTTTGACATAGCGTCTGCAAATCATATCTCGGGGAAGAACTTTCAGCTTCCTGACAGCCCAGAGGGATGGGCCTTTCTATCCATCACGACTTGTCTACTAGTCCTATTTTCTTCTTCAATTTTCTTCAAATTTTTTCATGGACCAAGAACTCATTTCATGGCCCTGTCGTTTGGTTTCATGTTTTAGGTAAAGCTCCCACTATTTAGGTGATATCCCATTCTCCCATTTATGTCTCATCTCCATATTAGTGGGCCAAGAATTCACAAAGCTGCATACAAAGGCTGTTAGTTGATCTATGAGGTCCCTCCAATCCTCTAAGCGCATAAGAATGAACTCCTAAGATTAAAACATCATCAATCTCAAATTTGCATTCTTGATTCTTGTAATTTAAATTTTGGCTCTATTGAAAACCCTTCATTTTGTTACTATCCATTGCACCCTCTTAAGTGCTGGAGGAGCCAATAGCGCATGCCTATCTCCTTTTTTTTTTTTTTTTTTGGAAATTGAAATCTAGAAATTTTTTGGGCCCTCACTACTGTAGACATCATCCGCTTAATTCTAGTAAGTTCATTAGTCTTTATCAACAATCTACAGCTAACTCCCAATCAGATTTCAAATTGTCTAGTGTGATTTTTTATTGCCTTCGTTGGGTTTTGGCCTTTAATGTTGTGTGGCATAGTTTGAAAACATAAATTGATCTCATGGACCGAGTGTGCACTTTGTTTCATAGTTCAGTATCAAAATGATTAAAATCAATTCAAGTATTAATCAAAGCATTTAAAATGGGCTTCATGTAATTATTTACTAAATATTTGGGCCTCAGACAGTGTAGTTGCTTAACTCAAGACACCTTATGGTTTAAATGACCTGCCGTTTGCCCTATATGGCTTATTTCATCTACTCATATACATTTCTATTATATAGGGAATGGGTTTTTTTTTTGTAAGCCAAAAAGGGATAGATGGTACCATATGGAGTCTTTAAGTCTTTCAAGTATGCTATCTGCGGCCAAAATTCTTCAGTGAATAATTTCTTTATTGCCTACATTAAAATCTTTTGTTATACTTTTAATGATTTTAGACATATTGAAACTGAAACATGAAAGCTAACTACACAATCAGTACTAGGGTCAGTTTATATTTTTTGAACTATGCTGCTCATCAGTAGAGATTGAGACCCGATAGAGAGAATAATGACATAGTAGAAAGTTTTAGTTCTGATTTAGAAATGGCTGTAGATTGTTGTCAGAGACAAATGAACTTTTGAAATGAAGTAGGTGATGCTTGGGGTAGTGAGAGCCTAAAAATGCTGGATTTTAATTCTAGAAAAGAGGAGATAGGTGCACAATTGACTTCTCTAAAAATGAGGGTGCCATGGATACAGGCAAAGGCTTTCGTTTTTTATATTGTTTGGGTCTAAAGAGTTTGCTCTTGTGTGTTCTGATTCTTGGAAGGACTTCACTGGTCAACTGGACAGGCCTTTGATACCTCTTAGGCGAGCACGTTGCACTTTAGTGTTTAAGTTGAATATGATATGAGGAACTAAGTAGAGCATTATTTTGGATTTCTGAGATTTTTATATCTGTGAGTTTGTTACAGTTTTGTGGCATTGCGGTCAAATAAATGGAGAAGAAATAAATTTTAATTAGAACTGAAACTCAGGTTTTAGAAATTGCAGACATTTGCAAGAAAACATATTGCGCTTAGATTCAAGTGGAGGATATTTTTGACCATTCCACAAGGTTTCTGGCAAAGAGTGCTCAGAATATACTAGGTTAGTAAGAAGTTAGGTGGATTTGTAGAGTTTTGCCCTTTTGCATGCAAATATAGGATTCATAGGTAAGGATGTTGCACTTTAGGATTCATAGGTAAGGATGCTGGACTTTAGGGTGTCTATTGGATATTCAAATGGTGAAAGAAGCAACAGAGTATCTGCATGTTGTTGTGATTCTAATTAGTATAGGTGGGTTACTTAGAGTTTAATTGTGGGTTGTTGAATACTTGGAATATTGCCAATTGATTTTGTGATAAATGAGCTGTGTTCTGGTCAAACAAATGGGGAAAAGAAAAAAGGCATTTAAAATAGAAACTTAGGTTTAAGAAATCCCAAGAATTGCAAGTAAGCGAGGTTCATTTGGAGGTGGTTTTTTGTTTTTTGTTTTTAACCACTCTACAGTGCTTAATGCAATGATTAACCATTTAATACTAAGTTTGTTTAGAAGTTTGCTGGTGCTGCGCAGAGCTTGGTTCCTTTGCCGGTATTAGAGGACTTGTATACAAGGACGTATTGCACCTTTTTGGATTCTATCTAATTTTAGGTGAATTACTTGGGATATATCTGTGGCTTTTTCTTTTACAAATTTTGGGCAATTGTCAATGATTTTATGGTAAATAAGTAGCCCTGGGGTGAAATAAACAGAGAAAGTAAAATGGTATGGGGGATATTGAGTATAAAAGAATTCCTTTTGCGGGAGTTTTATTTGAGTATTCAAATGGATGGCGGGCCAAAAATATTATACGCATGTCTTCTTGAATATTGAGATTTGGTTGGATTTTAATTAATCTAGATGGGTTACTTGGAATCTGTTTTGGTTTTATTAAAAATCTTCAATATTGTTAATGTATATTATGGTGGATAAGTACCTTTCCAGAGAAAAGAAAATAGGCCAATTAGTAACTAAAACCTAGGTTCTAGAAATCCCAAGACTTACAAGAAAGCCTTTTGCAGGAAGATTCACTCGGAGGTTGTATTTTCACCATTATACAAGGCTTTAGGCAAAGGGTAACCAGAATATACTAAATTATGCTTAGAAATTTGCTGGTTTTGTGCAGAGTATGGTTCCTTTGCAGGCAATTAGATGACTCATATACAAGGATGTTGTACTTTGGGATTTAAGTTCTATCTAATTTAGACGAGTTACTTGGGATTTATCTATGGGCTTGTTACTAATTTTTGAGTGTTGCATGGTAGATAATTAATTTTGTGGTGAAATTATAGGAAATGATGCTGGTATTCAAATCTGAGTCTCAGCTTCTAGAAATTATAGAGATTTACAAGAAAGGTTCATTAGGGGTTGCTTTTGGTAATTCTACAAGGTTTAAGCAAAGAGTACCAGTACATACAAGGCTTAGAAGTTAGGTGAATTGTGTAGAGTTTTGTCCTTTGCGTGCAAATATTGGACTCTCATGTACTGTAGCATTTGATTTGAATAGTGTAATGGGCCACCAGTTGAACAAACTATATGCGCATCTCATTGGTTTTAGAGATTTTCTTGGACTCTGGTTAATCTTGTGAGTCACTTGGAATAGATCTAGGCTTGTTAAAAATCTGGAATATTGTGAGTGGATTTCAGATAAGTACTGTACAGGAGCAAAAAGGTCAAGTAGAAACTCAACCTTCCGTTCCTGAAAAATTGTTCATTTTGAGGGGTTTTCCCCTTACCATTTTACAAGGCTTAAGGCAATGATTAAATAGAACACATACTAAGTTTGGTTAGAAGTTTGCTACTAGCAGTGTGCGGAGTTTTCTTACCATTTTTCAAGGATTACGGCAATGATCATATAGAACATACTACGTTTAGTTAGAAGTTTGCTGGTGTTGTGCACTTTTGTACGTTAAATAGAACATCACTTTTGTACGTTAAATAGAACATACTACGCTTAGTTCTGGTTTTCCAAGAGGAAAAAAAAAGAAATTCAAGGAAAAAAGAGACCTTAGATATTCAAGTATCCATTTCTATTACTTGTTTGTTAAACAAGTAACAAATTACGTAATATATAAGCCATTCATAAATATAACAAGAACTTTATATAAATTTCAAAAACTCATCTTATTTAATTTGCATGTTGATCATGTCCTAGCAGGTAACATTAAATGAAAACTGGAATTAACCAGGCACAATTCAATCATGGATGCCACTTCAAGAACAATCTAAGAGCAGGATATTTGACTGCTAATAGGTTTAAAGGGGTATTGATTATCAGCTGCATAATTGAAACTGAAATTGCCGTGTGTAACACCATAATAGATTGGTTGGCCACCGTTAACGAGGCAAGACCCGCCGCCATTTTGAGACAAGACAGCAGGATTAATCTTTTCAGCGCTTTGAAAGCCGGAGCAGGACAGCTTGACCTGGGTCTGAGTGCAAGTGCAATCGTTAAAGATGGTGAGTTTGAACTCCGGCTTGGATTGTACCTTTGCTCCTGTTGGAGCCTGCAATATGATTAGACTTGATAGAGAGCATCCTTGAGCATTTGCAGTGCCTGCAAGTTAAAATGAATTACTACTACCAATTAACAACATAACACATATTAATATTAATTCTAAAGAAAAACACATTATACACATACATATTATTATTAAACTAAGGATGAAATGCATGCATCAAAAACATGTAAATACATGCATTGTATGTCTAAAGTGGACCAGCCAAAAGTTTTGAAGTTGATAACACTATTATTTTATCTCCTACTTGAATAAAAAAAAAAGATGTTTTCAAGTATAGATTTTAATGAAAATTTATCAATACACATATCTAATTTTTTTTTTTTCAAAATTAAACGTGCACCTGCTCGACACAGCGTGCACACGTGTATATATATATGTATATGTACAGTTTCTATGATTCTTTTTGAAATCTACTGCAGTTGATATAGTGATGCATTTAGAAACTGTACCTGCGCTCAATAGACCAAGAAAGAGAGGCAAGCAAAGGATCTTGAAAATGGCTGCCATCTTCTTTGTTCTCGTCTCTTTTCAAAGATTCTGATCTTAAAGTGTGCTACTTTTATCTGCATATGCATAAGAGAACTTCGGAATTTATACATGCAAGACTTTCAAATGTATATGGAAAAAACGAGCATTGGAGGGTAAGAATTAATTTGCATGCGAAGGGGAATCCATATACATGGGATGGTATATTCATAGTGGACTAGCTTCAAAGATGTCTGTCTCGTTATCAATGAAACAATTAAGACGCCAAAAGATTTTTGCTAAAAAACAAAGAAAGAATCTCTCCATGCATATAAACCTGATTATATTTCATTAAATTAGAGATTTTATTATATCAACGGTGTATTTGACACATTCCATTTATTTTTCTTTAATAAGAAAAATAAACCCGATATAATTTTTTCTTAACGGGGAGGACTCGTTAAGAGAGGCATTAGGTGATCAATTTGGTGTTTTTTTTTTTTTTTTTCTATGTATGTTAAAGTGACTAAACGCAGATAGTGGAATTAATGTGATTGCGTGCATTTATATAGCAAATGAGATACAATTGTCAGGAAAATCCTTTAAAAGATGGAGAGTTATTAATGTACCTTTGATTGACATCCCAAAATTCCAGTTCTTGTGATTTCATATCATTTCTATTTAAAATGTCCCAGATTGAATTGTTTTAAATGTTAAAAGAAGATTCTCATTAGCACATTAATTCCTTGATTTTTGTATTTAAAAGGCAATCGCTTTCTGTTTATATTTGATTCTCATTAATTTGTTTCCCGCAATGATTTGTATCCTCATTTGCAGATCTCTTTTCATTTCCCAATTTTTCCCTATATTTTAACCTAAGTTCTTCTAGACAGCAAGTTTGGCCATATTTCAGACTGGACATTTTTTGCTATCACAACATGGGATGTTTTTGGCCCACCCATTTTTTGAAACGGCTTTTACAACATCCAGTTCCGTTTTAACAAGCCCAAAATCCATCCAAAGCTACCCATTTGTTGCTGTAGCAATAGATTAAATGGTCAATTTCGTTCATAAACTTCTTTTTAATGTCAATGTGGTCCCTATGTAATTTTTTGGCCAACTTAATTCCTATACTTATTTAGCGGTTCCAATTACCATGTAATTTTGATCAAATTTTTAATTGAGCTTGATCAAATTTCTAATTGAGCAACTAAGCAGGGTAGTTCGTGTACTTCACTGTTGGGGGCCATAAGATAAGAAGAAAAAATTGAAGGGAAAAAAAAAACTCAAGAAGCAGTGACATAACACTCTAAAAGCTTGATGGTTGTTAGAGCATCCAAATAATTTCTCATTGCCACTATCATCTGCCACCACCACCGCCGCATATCTTTTTGGATATGCGAATCAGAATCTTGCTTCAAACAAGGCTCGAGAAACGAACCCGGATGAGCCATCGGATTCAGCCTTGGATCATCCCATCCCTTAAAGTTTGGACAAATAAGCTCCCAAAGTTTACCGAAAAAGGGCTGCATCAAAATCATTCCCTTGAGCTTTACGCCGTCGCCTAGCCCATCTCGACTTGCTCTCACTGCGATGTCATGGCAATGTTACCTCCAGTGCTATTGCCGAAGAAGAAGACCTTGGTGAAGTCGGCATGATTGTTATTTGTTTATCCATGAATGGGGGGCCTTGTTTATCTTTGGCGTGAGATGTGACCCAATTGCATATGAGTTCAATACTTGCCGATTAAGGACAAAACTCTGCATGGTTCACCAGAAGAAAGCAGAATAGGAGATAGTTTGTAATTTGACTCCAGAACATATTTTTGGCAGTTTGAATTAAGGCCTTAGGACTAGATTAGGTGACTATTAATTAATTAATGCTTCAACTTGTCAAGGTTTTTTTTTTTTTTTTTTGAAAAAGATCCAATTTGTCGAGTTGCAATTTACTTTATTTTCTCTTATTAGAAGTGATGTAACCTATATGGGACATAGGGGCATTTGAGTTTTGTAATTCTCTTTTTCCTTTTCCTTTTAATTTTAATTACTTTTTATTTTGTTGCATGTGATCGAGTGGGCTAAGAGTGCACTATTCCTTGGTTTTTCCAATGGAAATCTTGGAATTAATTATCGCGTTTTGATTCCCATTTATGTGTTGCGCACGTTTTATGTGTTCAGATATTAATAATGCTTAGTTTAAATTAACTCAATTTTGGCCTTAAAATTAAAAGAATAAAATTAAACTCACAACTAGTTTTGCTGGGTGTAAGGAGGTGCTTAAGGGTAAAACCTCGAACTTTTCCAGTCACAAATGTAGCTCTAGAATACGTTTCTTTGATTTCAAAAGATCTAGAGCTATCTAGTTAAAGGGTTTTAATTTTGTATTTTGGCATCAAAAAATTACTTTTTTAGGTGATTAGGTATACTAAATTCAATATCCAATATTGACTTCAAATTTTTAGAAGCCCTTCTCCTAGACTTGTGCATCCAAATTCTTCACCTTGATTAAGTCCCATTATAGGTCCTTTTTTAAATTTTTCTTATTTTAATTTTGAAAAGCCCAAAAAATCATCTTAAATAAAATTCTTAAATATCTTTTTTATTTTTTTTTAAGAAAAATGGGGTGTGATGTACAGGAAGTTAGAGCTCCACAAAATAAATAAATAAAAGAATAAAAAAAATTTTGTACTTCAATTCTTCAAGTGAGACTCTAAGGTTGCGTTGGGTTCCATAGAATTGGAATTGAAATTTTATAGAATCTGAATGCTATGAATTAGAATTGCAAATTTTTTTGTTTGGGAAATGCTTAAAATTGATACATAATTCATTTGAAATTCTAAATTCTTTGTTTGAATGAGAGAAGAATTCATTAGGAGTTAGAATTGTTTCCATGTAACATTTGTTTTTATAAAATTTTCTTTTTTGCTTTTTCGCTATATAATAATTTATTTTTTCTTACATTTAGCTAATTGTTACTAAAGTTTTAAAGGAAAAAAAACCAATGAGTGCCTTTAATAATTTATTTTTTTCTTCGATTTAGCTAATTGTTACCAAAGCTTTAAAGCAAAACACCAAATAGTTCCTTTTTGCAAAAAAAGAAAAGAAAAGAAATCGATATATTATGGTTGCTTCCTTTTTTTCTTACTTAAATTATGTTAGTAAAAAACTAATTATATATTCTAACTTAAAAGTAGCCAATATTTATCAAGTTAAATCCTAATACTTTTTTTAAGTTAAAAATTTTAAAGTTTACAAAACCAAAAGACTACTTTGTTATACGAAGGGGGAGGAAAGTCATAATTTGTACCTATTATAAATGTTCGAGCGTTGCATCTTACAAGAAAGTTCTACAAACGTTTTTGAAAAAAAAAATCTTACAAGAAAGTTCCAGTAGATGAATATGCAAATAAAGTAATTTAAGCACAAAGAAAATGGGAAAGAAAGCATAATTATATATTGCTACCATTCTTCAGTAAATGGCCATTCTAACATTAAATTAAGTTTGAATAATTTCCTATCAAACTTCAATTTCCACGATGGCCTCGTATAATTTCATAGTCGACAAACATTGCTCATGCTAGAGCATTTCTAAATTGTGTCCGCTCCCTGGTAGGTCG